TGTCTCTTTTGAGTTTACCCTCATTTTACAAGGAGGTTGGGAGAAACGAAGGTTGCCTTTACAAAAAAATAGAACATATGGGGAGTTCTGGTGGCCTAGTGTCAAGAACCTGCATTGCAATCCCAGAGGCACATGGTTCAAATCCACAAGATGGTCTGCCGGGGAAGATCAACACACAAAAATCAGTTGGATTTCTCTACCGTAACAAAGATAACATAGAAAAAGAGCAAAGAAAAACAGTATCAATTACAATAGCTAATCACAGAATTATGTACTTCGGAACAAACCTAATTAGATACACAAGAGATCTACACAAAGGAAATTACAAAACAGTACTACAAGAAACACACTGAGAAATGGAAGAATACATCATATTCATGGATAGGAAGACTCAGTATTGTCAAAATGTCAATTCTACCCAAAGCAATCTACAAGTTCAATGCAATGTCAATACAGATACCAAGTCCATTCTTTAAGGAGATTCAAAGGCAATATTCAATTTTGTCTGAAATGAAGAGAGACCCAGAATAAGCAAAGAACAACTGACAATGATAAGGTCTGAGGTGTCACACGTCCCCGGTCTCAAATCGTGCTATACAGCCGTAGTCATCAAGGTACCATGGGACTGGTATAGCAACAGAGACACAGATCAAGGGAATAGAATAAAAACATAGACATCAACTCTTATCTCCGTATGGTCAACTGGGTTTTGACAAACTTTTACAAAGATTTGGCAAAGGGGGAAGGGAAGGCGAGGGAAGAAATTGTCCATCAATAAATGAATGAAAATCTGATCGTTCTGTAAACTTAGATGAAAAGAAGAATTTGAAAGTACACTCAATAATTAAACCCCAGAACTAAAGATATCAACAGGTCTTCTTGCATACCCCGTGAATATTCCATGTATTACATTACAAACATTTATGGTTAGCATATGGCGTCCACTTCCTAAGTAACATGCCTCTGCCAACTATGAACTTTGACAGATGTTGATAGTTACAGAAAAGCTTCAGGCCTTTTTTTGATAGGGTGGCTATGAGTTGTGCTGGACTTGATGGCAATCACCACCATCACCAATATCATACGTGTTGTTGTTAAGTGCCGTTGAGTCGCAGGTGACTCATAGCAACCCTATGAAGGAGAGTCCTCGACACTTGTGTGTCTTTCACCCTCTCTCCAGGTTCATAGGGTTTCTGGAGGCAAGCTATTATGGAAGTGGACGCCACTCCTCCTTCCAAGCTTGTTTTAATCGGGGAGCTCCACCCCATTTTCTGTCCACATTGGGCAACCAACCATTAACGCATTTGACACATCAGTGTCACAGTGTTCAGCCTCACAGCAACCACAAGTGACCGCTGTATGGCAAGTGGATACACCAGGGCTATACGACCTAGAGGAGTGTCTGAACAAAAACAATGAAAGACAGGCCCAAGAGCCGCGGATTAAAAGACTCAGCCACTATTGGCTTGGTAGCATCGTCTTCTGACCACTGGGCCAACTGATCTCTCTCTATGTTGATGTTGTTGTTAAGTGCCGCCGAGTCTCAAGCGACTCGTATGAAGGACAGTCCTCAACGCTTCTGTGTCATATCATACATTTCTATGTTTATTTAAAACAGAATGAAACACTAATTCCAAAAACGTCAACAAGACACTGAAAACAAAAGCAACTGTGGTCTCCTTACCAAGAACTTTTAAAATACATGGTGAGAGGGGAGCTCTGGTGGCCTAGTGGCAAGGAGTTGCAACTACAATCCCAAAGGCGCACGGTTCGAATCCACCAGGTGCTCTGCCGGGGAAGAAGGGACAATCTCCTCCTGTACCAGTCAGATCTGATTTGACGGTACACGCACACAAAAATAAAAAAAATAAAAAAAAATACATGGTGAAAATGACAGTGTAGTTAATGTGTTATTCTCCTGTCAGAAAAACTTATTTGAAAGAAAAATGTGGTGTGGAAACTTACTCTCCATTTACCACAATGACAAAGTCAGCAGATAATGGCAAAGCGTTGACTCGTGAAATGTCAGCAACGGACACTCCCAAAACACGGACATAGAAAAGTAGCTAAAGTTGTTCAATTTTTTAGCCTTGATAGCCTTTGTTTTTTGTAACCGTGGAAACTCCATCTCACCTTCAAAAAAGAAGCCAAACCCTTGACCATTGAATCAGTTCGGACTCCCATAGCAATCTCGTAATGGTGAGAAGAACGGCTCTGCAGATTTTATTTATATCAAGTAAGCAGAAATCAAGCAGACAACTAGTCGTTACCAAGGTGGAAGGAAAGGAATGAAGGAGAGCTTTAGCTTAGGCAACTCTACATTTATGCTAAGGGTGCTGGAAGTATTTGGAAAAGGCTAACCACAGTCAATGTCCAACCTCGATTAGTCAGGCTCACTGAGCAGCACGTGTCAGAACCGTCTGGACGGTGAATGTTCTGTTAGGTCTATGTTCAGCACAATGAAGAAACAAGTGGAAAACCCCTAAAGGAGTTGCAGGGAGCATCAGCAAGTGTCAGCTGTCTATGGACTGTCATTAAAAGGAAGAGGGCCTGCGTGAATACAAGCAGTGTGAAAGGCGGGTGTCCATTGGTTGGCAGTTTCAGAGAAAGTCCTGATAGAACTTGCCCCCTCTAACTGACACCCTCACGGAGCACAGATCTACTCTGAAGCACTTTAGTCCAATTCAGCTCAAAGGCATCTGGAACTTAACCCAACTATTTATTAGGCGTTTAGGAGTTCAGGCGGTCGAATGGTTAAGAGCTTGACTGCGGACTCAGACGTCAGTGGCTCCAAGCCATCAGGTGCTCAGAGGGGAAGTACGCAGAAGCGATTTCTACAAAGATCACACCCATAAAAGCCAGAGGGGGGGGAGAAGTTCTACTCTGTGCCTGTGAGACCACTAGCTGTCAGAGTAGATTCAGTTATCAGTGAATTTATTTGACTGTCTCTTTTGAGTTTACCCTCATTTTACAAGGAGGTTGGGAGAAACGAAGGTTGCCTTTACAAAAAAATAGAACATATGGGGAGTTCTGGTGGCTTAGTGTCAAGAACCTGCATTGCAATCCCAGAGGCACATGGTTCAAATCCACAAGATGGTCTGCCGGGGAAGGAGGGACAATCTCCTCCTGTACCAGTCAGATCTGATTTGGCGGTACACACACACACACACACACACACACACACACACAATTAAAATTAAAGAAAAAATTTAAAAAAATAGAACATATCATCAAGGGTGGCAAATGATCTCTAGTGAAGAAAATGGATTTGGAAGCATTTATGTTGGGGAAAAAAAAATAATCAACCCATGATGGCAGAAATGTTAAGTGCTTTCAGCTTGAAAAGACTCAGAGGTACCTTGGAAGAAAGTTCTGGTGATGTCCATAGAAAATCTATGGAGCAACCCTCCTTTACACAGAAGGGTTGCTGTGAATGAGAATGGAAGACTGCAACTAAGGGGGGGAAAATAATGTTGGAAAGGAGAGTGGAGATCCTGATACTTACCCCAGCTTCTCTACGTTACACGTGGGGTTTTTCAGCATCCTGCAGAGCTCTCTGATGGCTCTGTGAGAGAGACTAATGCCGTGCAGAGTCAGGGATGTCAAATACGCGTTATGAGAAAGGACGTTGAACAAGTGTCCACCATCTCCAAAGCTGGACGGGAAACAAATCCTGCAGTAGGGAAAGATTGGATGCAAGGAATGAACTCAGAGTACCAAGCAAGCACTTGTCTTCAACAGCTCTGTCAACTCGTCGTGATCAGTGGTTTCCAGAGCCCTGGTTCCTCCCAGCAGCCGTTCAACACATCCAGAGGCGCCTGAGAGAAACGCTCCTAGGCCTAGTTCTGCAGAAAGAACCACTGAGGACGCATGGGTCGCCATCAAGCTCTTCCACAGACGGAGCCATTATGGGTTGGAGCAGAGTGAGGGTGTAAGATTGGGCCAAGCAGTTCCACTACAGGGAATATACCCCAAAGAAACCATAACCACCACCCAAGCGGATGTATGCACACCCATGTTTATTGCAGCTTTGTTCACAATAGCAAAGAGCTGGAAACAACCCAAGTGCCCATCAACAAACGAATAGATAGAGAAGCTGTGGTCTATTCACACAATGGAATACTACGCTGCACTGAAAACCAAGGAACTCATGCAATATTAGCATAATGTCCTCCAGGGCCACCCAGTTGTATGAGTGCAATATCTCAGTCACAAAAGGACAAATAATGCACAGGGCCACTGTTGTAAAACGGGACTGACATTGGGGTGGGGGGAGACTGAGCAAGATGGAATTAATAATGTATACTGCATTTAATAAACAAATGAGGGAGACAACTGTTTAAAAGGGGTCAATGATTAGGTATTATTGTTGCGACAGGAGTCCAGAACGAAGGCTATGTAGTGGAGTGGACTTGTGGGGAGGGATTGAGTAACAATGGAAGTTTTTCTTTTACTTTTCAAAGAGAAGAGTGTACTGGGTGGGGAGGGGTAGGCAGGGAGAAAAGTGTGACAATGAATGAATGGAAATTCAAAGTCTCTGTAAATGTTCATGAAAATGAATTATGACAATATATTTAAAAAGAAGACTGGGCCAAGTCTCATCATGGGGTTGCTAAATGGTCAAGGGCACCTAACAACAACGTGAGTCAGAATGAACTCGACGGCCCAAGTCATCTCCAGGACTGTGGCAAGGTTTATAGCAAAGGACGCCAAGTGCTGCCATGTGCTGAAGCAGTGTTCCGTAAGCGCTTGCAAGTCCCTGTCCTCCATACCTTTTCAACCTATATGCAGAACAGATTATCCGGGAGGCTGGGCTCTATGAGGAGAAATGTGGGGTCGAGACTGGTGGACGATTTATCAACAATCTGCGTTATGCGGATGACACAACCCTGCTTGCTGAAACTGAGGAGGACCTGAAGCGCCTGCTGCAGAGTGTCAAGGACTGCAGCCTACAATATGGACTGAGGCTCAATGTCAAGGAGACAAAGATTCTCACCACTGGACCAATTGGCAGCATCAGGATGGATGGTGAAGAGATTGAGATTGTACACAGCTTTAGTTTGCTTGGCTCCATAGTCAACAGTCTTGGCACCAGCAGCCAGGAAATTAAAAGGCACATTGCCATGGGAAAGTCTGCTGTTAGGGACCTCTCCAAAGTACTGAATAGCAATGGTGTCTCTCTGGAGACTAAGGTGCGTCTGATACAGGCCATGGTCTTCGCAATCACCTGTTATGCATCAGAGAGTTGGACAATGACCAAGGAGGAGAGAAGGAGAATTGACGCCTTTGAGCTGTGGTGCTGGAGAAGAGTATTGAGAATACCATGGACTGCTAGGAAAACAAACAGATTTGTCCTGGAAAGGGTTAAACCAGGTGGCTCCTTGGAGGCAAGGATTCTGAGGCTTCATCTAACATATTTTGGACATGTGAGGAGAGACCGGTCCTTGGAGAAGGACATCATGCTTGGGAGGGTGGAGGGATGGCGCAGGAGAGGAAGGCCCTCTATGAGGTGGATTGATTCAGTGACTGGGGTAATTGGGATGGGAGTGTCAGAGACAGTGCGATTGGCACAGGACAGAGCGGAGTTTAGGGCTGTTGTACATAGGGTCGCCATGAGTCGCAAGTGACTCGATGGCACACAACAACAACAACAACAACAACAACAACATGTCCCTGAGGACGCTTCCTCTTTCTTATTTAGAAAGCATCTCCCGTCGATCAATGAACTCCCATGCAAAACTCATCTCCTGCCAGAACCTCTCTCGTTCAGCTCTCCAAAGCAATGTTCTGTGTCTGTGGACTTCATGTATGGGCTCGTTAGGTCAGGATTAGAATTCTTGTCTTGCATGCTGGAGAGACAGGTTTGAGTCCCAGCCAAGGCAACTCCTTCCACGCCACGGGGAGTTTGGCCTGCTGCTATGATGCTGAACACGTATCTGACTCATGTGGACGAGAGCTAACCATCTGCTGATCTACCCCTGAGAATTCAGTCAACGAATACCTTCTAGATCATGATGTTTCTATCTGCACTTGACCCTGGGCTCATCACAGGACTAGTAGTGTTTGTTTTCCTGTCCCCAGGGGTCTCCAGCAGTCAAGAATGACTCCCCAGCAGCAAATAACAAGAACGCTGTAGTTGTGGGTTTGCGCTTACCTTCTTTGGCCTTTCTCTCACAACGTGAACGAGAGAGGAGGGGCTTCCTGGTGTGAGGGATTAAAAGCAGCGCTGGGAACCAAACTTACGTGAGGGTCTCCAGTTGGCAGATGGGGTGCGCCACGGCTCTGCCAAGAATTGCCAGGGAGGCGTCACTGAGGTCACAGTTGTCCAGCTTCAACACACGCAGTTTCTTGCTGGCCTTCAACACCAAGCAGAGCTTCTTCCAGAGGGTGCGCTTCCTTTTCCTGTGGGGACACAAAAGACCGAGTCCCCAGGATCTCACTTCAGTCCCACTCATTTTAAACTGGGCCGAATGCTATTCCGCGTCTGCTCGATGCAAGCAGGTATAGGTCCCAGAGAGGTAGATGTTCAGTTTGGTAAACCAAGCTGTCTTGTCATCGTGGTTAAGAGTGTCAACTCTGGGACGGGAGCCCTTGGGGTGACACTGTTGTGGAGTCACGTGTAACTCAGTGACTCTGAAGGTTAGAGTGGGACCGTTGCTCCCCAGAACGCTGAGGCCCAATTTTGAGAAATGGATCAAGTATTTACTCCAAATCACCCGAGGGGAATTGGGCTTCCAATCTGTCAGCCGATTGAGGCTTTGTCATTTGCGCCACTCAGGGGGTACCCAGAGCACCTATTTGACTGATGCGGCATTCGTAATAAACTTACTTTCCAACAACAAGGACCCAGTCGGTCAGGATCTATCTGGACCACGATCAGAGGAGGAAAACACTTAGAAAGGACCATCACACTCATTAACTGGGCTTACTGGATGGACTGCAGTCTAATGACTGGGAAGAATCTAGAACTCTTGTACCGAAACTATCCCACGAAGCTATAGCTATTCTGAAATTTTAGGCTGTCAAAACAATTTCTGCTTTGAGTGTAGTACTCCTAAAAGAATTATCTGTGTGTACTGACAAAACGAACCCAAAGTAAAGACTAGATCTACAAGTTGTTGTTGTTGTTAAGTGGCGTCAAGTCGTAGGCAACTCATAGCGACCCTATGAATGAAGGTCCTCAACACTTGTGTGACTTTCATCCTTTCTCCAGGTTCATAGAGATCCCAGAGGCAAAGCTATTTTGGAAGTGGATGCCACTTCTGCTTCCAGCCTTATTTTAATTGGGGAGCTCCACCAAACACTGCCTGCCATGGGTGACCATTAGATCTACAAGAGTCAGACAAAATTAAGTCTGATGAAACACAATTGGTTTGAAATATACTGATGACACAGCATGGTATGTAACCAATGCTTCTCAAAATTTCCAATAGAAATTAGGAATGGATGCGTTTTATCATTTGTTATACAAGCAGAATCAAGTAACAAAAAAAAAAATCACTCTTTTGGTATTTGCCAGTGAACAAAAAAATGGTATTAAAAAAACCCCACAACCAAACAAACACAAGCCACAAACTATTTTCCTGGATGGTATTTGAGAGCTAAGTCATGATGAAATGGCAGGGAAAGCTAACGGCCGTGGAATAAAAATATGATCAAAGTAACTATAAAACTTCCAACTTCACTGCTTTTCAGCTCAGCACATTTTTTTCATTTGCCCTACGAAGTAGGTCTAATTTGCCCCTCTTGATTCAGATGGAGAAATTCTAAGAGGTCAAGATGCTGCCCTTAACATAGTAGACATAGCTTGCTAGAATCAGAGCTCGGGAAATGATCTCTGACCATGAAAGTCATACTGTTAAGCTCAAAGATATCAAATACCCACGGAGAATCGGCGTCAACTACAGACAGGATGGGATGGGGGAAAATACTCAGTACGTTACAAGGAGTACTCACATCGAGACTGGGCCAGAGTCCTCTGAGAAGACATTGTCGACATAGATGCTCAGCTCCTGCAAATTCCGGCAATGGGTCAGGCAGTACAAAGCCACTACCCAGCTCCGAATACTGTCAATGTGAACCACCATGTCTCTGAAACGATCCATGACTTGGGTCACAGACTTCTGCTCCTTGGTCTCGTAGAGACTACTGAAGAGGTCCAGGTAATTGGGCTTCTGATCCTCTTTCTCAATGAAGCCTCTGAGACACAAGACTAGCTCCTGCCACGTCTGCTGGCCAAGCTTCAGACCAACTGACGTCCCCAGCACCGTCCTGGTCCTTAGGGATGGAATTCCGAACATGAACAGTCTCAGCTGGGGGAAGTAGTCGTGCATGTGCCAGATACCAGACACGGCCAGATCGATGAGGTTGTAAACCACACAGGTGGGCTTGTCTTTGGGCTCCCTGGTGTAGCAGAACAAGGCCGCGCAGAAGCCCTGCACCAGCTGGTGGGCGAATGAAATGTGGTCACAGTGCCGGCGGAGAAGACGCAGGTCCAGCCACAGCGACACGTCGTAACCGATGAGTCCGTGCCTCTCCAGGTCCTCCTGGCAGAAGAGAAAGTTCTGAGACCACAAACCCTCTGCAGCCAAGGAACACAAGGCTTTTATCTGGAAGGTGCTCCGCTTGGGTGGAGTGTTCTCATAGCCTCCTCTCACCACGCTGACGAAGAAAGACACAAACAGAGACGTCAGATTGTGGCCGACAATCTCCGGTTCCTCCCTTCTGTGCATTTGCCATTTCACACAGGAGCAGATTAGCCAGCACAGAAGGGGGGTTTGGCATAAGTACAAGATTTTCTTGTCTCGCAGGACGCTGGAAGCTTCCACGGCTTGATTCTCAAGGAAAAAATGGGAGAAGTATTGCTTCCTTTCGTGCGTCGAGAGCCCATGGAGGGTTATGTATCTCGGGTACTGTAACAAACTGCTTTTCCCAAAACCCGACGGTCCCAATGCAGTAAGCAGAGAAGCGTCTGGGAGCAGATTTTTCCGCAGCAAACTACGCAGGATAATCTCTACCGGCTGCTCCTGCCTCCAGTCATGACATGTTTTGTTTTCCAGCATCAAGTTCAACTTCAGCTCCTCCAAGCCATCTATGATTAACAAGATCTCCTGGGGCTGGGAGAAAACGTCTTCAATTGGCTCCCAAGACTCGGGCCAGTCCCTGGAGAGGAACTTCACTAAGCTGGTCTCTATCATGTGGTTCATCTCATGGACATCCAGGAAGAAGACGAAGGTGAATCTGTCCCTCCACAAGTTCCCCTCTGTCCAGTCCAGCATCACTCTTCTGAGAAGGGTGCTTTTTCCGATTCCTTCGGGGCCTCTCAGAACTACGGTGAGCGGCCTTGAGCTTGTCCCGTCGGAAGTGAATGCGCTTTTCAGGTCTTCATACTGCACCTTGACGGTTTCTTTGTAGAAAGATTCTGGAACTGGGAGACAGGTTTCTTCTTCCCACAGAAGGCGGAACTTGGCCTCCATGTGCTTCCTGTAGGGGTTGATCTTACCTGAGTGAGGACAGAAAAGATGACATTTAAAACAATACAGGCATTTTGAATTCTTCTCGACACCGACCACAGCCATTCCCAACAACGCATGTACAAAGGCTAATATACTGGATCATCGAGAACCAGGCTAGACTCGTTTTATCCAGAAAATACCCAACTAAACCAGCTTATGTCAAGTTCACTACGAATCCCATTGACCCCCATGTGTGCCATGGTAGAAACCACGGGCCTTCATGACATCATTGCTTTTCCCTTTAGAAGTTGGTCAGGAGACTTTCGGGGCCCTTCTGGGCTGTTCTGAATAGCAATCTCTTGGTCAGCAGCTCAGTGTCACCCTAGGACTCACTCCTCTTAGGACAACAATCTCATAACGGACGTGGGAGTACACGACTCAAACGGAAAAGGCTGGTGCAGAGTTAACAACTACATCAAGACTGTTTGGGAATGATATTTCAAATGGCGTGATTCCTTTCTCAACAGAGAACCTCCCCGCCCTGGTGGGAGGAGGAACCATTTAGCAGCTGCCAGCAAGTCGTGACTCATGCCAGTTCCATGGGCAAAGACAGTTGGGATCCAAGGGGTTCTCCCTGGGGCCCCAGAGAGCCAGGAGCTGTGTTTTCAGAGCACTGACCCGAAATCAAACTCAAGTCTCCTTCGCGGGAGACGAGACTTCGACCACAGAATCACCATTTACTAAGGGAGTGGCAGGAATTGTTAGTGACACCACTCCTTTCCTTTTAACCACTCAAAGGCCTTCACTCTCCACTTTACAAATTAAGCAGACCATGTCCTATTTAGTTCATGTGGACTAATGAATAGGTTTTTGGGTCCTTGGGTCTGTCCTATATCCACCTGACTTGGAAGGACTCAACTAGGGTGCTTCAATTACCCCATGTCATGCTCAATTCGGAAATGCACCCTTGAGCCATTATGATTATTATTATTTTTAAGTTTTGCAAATGACTTGTTTTCCATGTTCAGGGCAAAACATGAAGACAGGAAAAAGGATCAATCCAAGCAAGACCCACAGCTCTAGTGTAGAATCATTCACCTCAAGTAAATAAGTAATTGTCGTTGTGGATTGCCTTCGGGGCTAGTATGACTCATAGCGACCCTATGAACAAAAGGCTTGAAGTCCCTCGACAACTATGGACATACAGGTCCTTCAAGAAAGTACAAGGCTGTCACACCAAGTGTCTCATGATACCTGGAAGGAAGAGTGGCCTGGTGGCACGTGGTTAAGTGCCGTGGGGTTAAGCAAAGTGCTGGTGTTTTGAACCCACCCGGAGGTGCTTCAGAAGACAGACCGGCTCCAATTCGCCAAAGACTGCAGTCGAGAAAGATCTGAGGGTTGCATGGCGCAACCACGAGTTGGGGTACTGGTTGGCAGCATCTGACAAAAACAGTCTATGGTCTCTCACGCTTGCACATGTCTGCTTAAACGAACGGGCGAGCAGAGTGAGGGACAGCCATCCCCCAAGTTGGCGTGAGGCACATGCCAGCTCTCAAGCCGTCTCCTGGACGTGGGACATGACCAATCCCTTAGAGAACTGGATGCTGTTTCTAATTCTACTGCGTCTAAGGCTCCCTCTCTCCCAGCTCACACACTTAATGGTTTTGAGGTGTTGCCCATTCAACAAAGATGTCATTTTTATTATCAAAAGCTCCCCCCAGATGCAGCCTCTGCACACGGGCTCCCACCCTACACCCCGCACTCACATCTCATCTCCTTCTTGGCCTTCTCCCAGAGGTGTCTCTGACCGAGCTGTTCGAAGACATCCAAGGTCATCTCCCAGGCCTGCTTCTCCGTGTACTTCTTGACCAGAACCCTCATGAGGTTCATTTTTGAGGTCCCCACCAGCTTGGCCACAGAAAGGGGCTCCAGCTGACGTTTCAGCACTTCCTGCTCAAGCAGCTCTTTGAACTTGGAGAACGCTTCTTCTTCAAGTTCCTCCAGGTAACACAGCAAACTGAAGAATGACAGCCAAGATTCCGACATCTTGGGCCAAGATCATGGGCTCAGAGTTATCCAGAGGGAGAGGTCTTCAGAAACAAGGAAGAGCTGTAATCAGGGAACAATGTTATAAAGGGAGAGAAAGATCAGCAAGGAATTTCAAGTAGGTAGGAGGACAGAAGGAGAATTGATGCCTTTGAGCTGTGGTGCTGGAGAAGAGTATTGAGAATACCATGGACAGCTAGGAAAACAAACAGATTCATCCTGGAGAGGGTGAAGCCAGGCTGCTCCTTGGAGGCAAGGATTCTGAAGCTCCGTCTGACATACTTTGGACATGTAAGGAGGGACCAGTCCTTGGAGAGGGACGTCACGCTTGGGAGGGTGGAGGGACAGCACAGGAGGGGAAGACCCTCTTATGAGGTGGATTGATTCAGTGACTGGGGTTGTCTTGATGGGTGTGTCGGAGACAGTGCAATTGGCATAGGACAGAGTTTCGGGCTGTTGTACATAGGGTCGCTATGAGTCACAGGTGATTTGAAGGCGCTTAACAACAACAGTTACTGACCAAGGAACTATAAGGGAGGGGAGGGGGCGCAAGTGAGGGGCACGAAGGGAGCCAAGAGGGGAGGGCAGGGGAGCGGAGAGGAGAGAACTGTTTTCCACTGACTGGGAACTGGTTGGTTCCAATTCACCAGCCGTGAGGTGGACGATTCAACCCTCTCCTTTTCTCTGGCCTCACAGCCTGTGAAGTTTTATGGGGATGATATTCTCCGGCACACAGGCCCGCTAGGAGTCAGAACCTGATTGTAATGGTCCAGTTTAGTCGAGCGGCCTGGAGAATTCCGTGCCTGACTGCTAGCCAGGAGGCTGGTGTGTGCACCCATCGGGAAAGCTTTTAAGAAACCCTGGCCACCTGCTTCTAAAATGTCAGCAAACTCCGAGGAGCACGGTTTGCCTCTGATGCTTCCGGGCCTTCCTGGGGAGGTACCTCGGGGTGGACTCGACACTCAGCCATCGCAGTTAGCTGCTTGGCCCACTCAGGGGCCAGGCTGTCGGATCCCTAGAGCTGCTTACTCTCCAGGGTCCTAGGAGCCCCCGGGTGGCTCCAAAAGCCAAGCACTTAGGGAGCCATCCAGCAGGGTTCACAAGAATGGAGGTCTCCCCCCAAGTGGACCCCACTGCCGTGGAATCAACACCTACCCATCGTGACCCTCCATGAGTTTCAGAGACTATAGATTATTATTATTAATATTATTATTATCATTATTATTCTTTTACAGGAGGGGATTGCCCAACATCTCCCATAAACTGGATAGAGTTTAGAACTGCTGACCCTGTGTCGAGAAGCCTGACATGTTACCCACTACACCAAGAGGGCTTCTTGCAAAGGTCTCAGCTGTTGCACACCCTCCGGGCCACTCCGCTCCTGTGACACGGATCAGGTGGCGATGGGACCAAGTGGACTCAGTACAGCTCTGCCGGCTTTCTTTCATCCTCCTTAAAATGACATCGCTGGGGCGTCTCACATCCTGTGATTAAGACCACCCTTACTCCGCTCGAGTTCAGAAGCAGCCCTGTGTGATATAGCCGGCTTCCTCTCCTGGGCTTCTGAGGCTCCAGAAGCAGGAGTAAGGAGAGCGTTAGGAGACCACTGCCCCCTCTCCAAACCAGTTCTAACAGCCTCACTCCACCATTTCACTGGATGTTACTGTTGGGCGCTGTTTCAGTTCTGACTTGTACAGACCCCATGTGGAGAAAGCAGACCTACCCCGTGGGTTTTCTTGGGTGTAATTTCCGTGGGTCTGCCTTCCAGAGACTTTGTGTGATGGAGCCAGCAAATGTTGGGCTAATAGCTGGGTAGGTAACTGCTGTACCTGGGGGTGAGGTGGAGTGGGGTGGGTGGGGTGG